GTCCAAGGTACCTTGTAGACATGGGGGGAATGATTAACTAAAGGGACAAATTTGAATCCACCTTAGTGTTGACCTCGATTTTGTTAATTTGCTCTCGATCGTGCTTAATCAATTCAATTGAGCCACGACGAGTTAAATTCGAGCCGAATAAGATTTAATTTGAACTTCATTTAATCAAATTCACATTAATTAGATTGTATTAAGTTCAAATTGTCCCGAATCTAATTGAATTTAACTCGACTGTACTCGATCGAATTCAATCCGTACATGTTGATCGTGTCAGACCAGATTTTATTTTTGATTGATGTCAATTTTGGGTTAAATTTTATATGATTAAATTTATTGAACAAGCTAGAACCCAAACAAACTCAAATTGAGTCGAATTTGGACTCGAGTATAATCAGATTTAGCCCAATTTAATTCCACTAAGGTTCATTTGACTTTATAAACAATTCAAATTGATTTTCTAAATCCTGAAATTGCCTCGATGATTCTGTTCTTCTCGAAATTTTAGAACCTACCGTTGCTAGGCTCTCCCGTCGCGTGCCATATAACTTTAGATAGATGTTCAGTCAAATTTTAACGGCACAAAACGAACATAACCTATTTGCGTGTTTAGAAGAGGGAGAACAATCCTCAAGCAGCAGGATACGAACTTTCTCGCCTTTTCCTTAGTTGAACCAACTGAGATAATGCATTGGCAAGCCCGTTCTCTCTCTCTCTGTCTCTCTCGGTCCCTCCTATTCGCAGAAGCTTCGTCTCGCATACAGGCTCTCGTTTTTTGCACAACCCCCTCCCCATCTGCTCTCTTGTTCACAAGTTTCATGCGAAGCGGCAAGCCCCATTACGCGTCTCTCTCTCCTTGCTCTCGTCGCCCCTTGCATGCTTGAACCGAACTCGACGCCTCCTCTCTAGAGCGGGAAACCCAACGCCAGCCTCTCCCATTCTATCCGCAAGCTCCAGTGAAGCGACGACTAAAGGGAGTCAGCCCAATCCTGCTTGCCCCAACAAAACTCAAGTATCCCTATCCCTGTTTCTTTTCTTCCATCTTCTTGATTCTTTTCTATATCTTTTCTCAAATCTTCTTATCCCCTTCTAAACCACGGTTCAGATTTTCCTTGTAGAGATAGGAATATATGCTGCTTTACTTTTATAGTCCTTAATCAACTATTACCTTCTTATTGAGATATTCATCTAGCTTTGTGTTCTTGCAAATCAATTATTTGATGAAATGTTTCATTCATTTATGATTTATATTGCAGCAAGCATATATTCCCTTTTAGATTCATTTAGTTGTTAACAAGAAAAAAGTTTAGAAGAATATTTGAGCATGAAACATTATTAGACAAGCATATATGAATTTATGAATGATTTAATTTCTATGATAAACATTGAATGATAGAATATGCATGATGATCCGAAGTACCAAATGGTAAAGGGCTCTTCGGAGTAAAATGGTAAAGGGCTCATCGGAGCAATTGGGATGGGAAATTAACCGTAGGAGCTTTTGTCTATGGGAAACATGAACTCAAATCTTAGAGTGCTCGCAAAATAAAGGTTGAAATCTTGTTGGCTCAAGAAAAATGGCACGAGCGCAAGCGCCCATAGTTATGAGCGCAAGCGCCCATAGTTAATTACCCCTCTTACTACGTAAGAGAGAACTCTCGATTAAGGATGAATAAATTTTAGATATTTTTAGTCTCAATTGTGGGAAAAATGAAGGTAAACCCGATCAAGATCCCATGGTTCCGTTGTCTCGGGTATAACGTAGATTTAAGTCTACCAACACTAACAATCATTGACCGTAGTGTCCAGGGAATCTGATTATCAGCCATGGGTTGCCTCCTCTCAGGGATCCCGAATAGACTGAAGTGGTTAAATGTGAATTTTTGTTTGATTTAATTTGGGTTAGGGCTTATTACTTCCTTAGAAGTTGCCTACTAATTTGTTTAGTTTGAGGCTTACGACTCCAATTAAGAGTTGCCCGTTAACTTAATTTATTTTGGGGCTCACGGCTCCAATTAGGAGTTGTCCGGATAATTTGTTTAGTTTGGGGCTTACGGCTCCAATTAGGAGTTTCCCGGATAGTTTGTTTAGTTTGGGGCTTACGGCTCCAATTAGTTGCCCGGAGAATTTTCGTTGGATAGGTCTTATGGCTTCCTTAGAAGTTGCCTAATAGTGGGTCTTACGACCTAGCCCTGTAAGCTAAGCGGCCCGAGTTGTGGGTCTTACAACCAAGCCATATAGACTAGGATGCCCGAGAATTTTAATTATTTGGGTAGGACTTATAGCTTACCTTAGAAAGTAGCCTGAAAAGCGGGTCTTACAACTTAATCGTTTAGACTAAGATGCTCATAGGTTTAAATTTTGATTGTTTAGGGTTTAGGATCATTACTATTTATTTAGCAAATTTCCTAAAATGTGGGGGCTTACGACTTCATGTAGAAGTTGCCCGATAGCAGGTCTTACAACCTAATCCTATAGACTAGGATGCCTAAATGAGGGGTCTAGGTGTATTATCACCTAAACACATCCCTCAGATATCGGACTTACGACTTCATTAGAAGTGGCCGGGGGTTTTAATTGGGTTTAGGGGTTAGGTCAATTTCTATCCTACGAAAGTTGCCGGAAAGCGGGTCTTACAACCAAGTCCTTATAAACAAGGCTGCCCAAAAGTTTGAATTTGATTGTTTTTTGTTGAGTTGATTTGATTTTGTGATTTTGATACTTCGGGGCTTTGACACTTGCATTAGTGTTTTAGTTGTTTTGATTTTTCCTTGTAGTCTTTTTCTTACTACAACAGTTTAGTACTCTTCCTGTTTTCTTAACATTTCCTGCTTTTCAGTACTTTGTTTTACTTGCAGTAGTTGGATTTACCACTTTTCCTCATTGATTTAATTTATTTATGCTGCATTGATTTTTGATCGCTTGTTTGCAGGCAAGTGGTGCTTGCAGCAGTTCAGGAGATAGAGTCCACAAATAGCCATAGAAGTTTGTACATGAGGGCTTTGGAGAGCAGTTTGTAGAGTTCAAATTGAGAGTTTTGGAGAGCAATTTGTACGAGAGATTTGAGGAGTTTGAGAGTTTGAGATAGCTTGTACAGTTGTTTGAGATTTCTGAATTTTTGTACATGATTGGGTTGTATGTATCAAATAGTGGAAAAAATATTCTTCTCCCTCTCCTCTATTTTTTGATTTATTATATATATTTTTTAACAAATAATTCAATTTTGATTAATTAATTTAATTAACCAAAAGGTCTAAAAAAAATTATAATAGCTCTCAGATTTTAAAACTCTCAAATATTTAAAAATTATTGTATTTGATTTTTTTTTTTTAAATGTCATCATATTTTAAAACTTGAATTTTCCTTTAATCAATCAATTAATTTAAATTAACTTTGATTAATTAAAAAAATTAATTGATTAATCAAAATATTTAAATTTAATTGATCTATAATTATTCAAAAAAAAAAAGTTCTATAATTTTTCTCAAAATTTCGGCAGCCTCCCGACGTCTACTCCTCACCGAGGGAGAAATCGGGACAACACTTGCCGAAATTTCTTCCTACCAGGACCTAAGGTCAACGGCATAGGGTCTTCGAATTAAAACCATCTCACCAGGATCTAAGATACGACGTCTCGGGGTCTAATTTCTTCCTACCCGGACCTAAGGTCAACAGCATAGAGTCTTCGAATTAAAATCATCCCACTAGAATCTAAGATAAACTACGCAGGGCCTTCAAAATTTATTTTATCACCCAGATCTAAGATCAATGGCGCGGAGGCTTTGAATTTAAAACCATCCGCCCGGATCTAAGATCATGGCGCGGGTCTTCGAATTCTAAACCATCCCAGTCGGACCTAAGATACAACAGCCCGGGATCTTCGACACTTGCTTGAAAGATTTTTTTTCTTTTTCTTCTTTTTTTATAGATATATACAATATCATATAAATAAAATAATATATTTATGATATCAATATATCATATTATATATATATATATATATATATATAGGCCGGGGTCTTCGACATCTATTTGAAATAATTTTTTTTTTTAATTTCTTTCCCTTTCTTTTCTATAATATGTATATAATATTATATTATTATTTTTTAAATATGATTGAATAATATATAATATTATATTATCATATTACATTATATATTATATATGTCATAATGAAGGGGAGAGGAGCCGAAGAAGTGACAGTGCAATCTCTGCACCTTTAACAAAGCAACAGAGCCGAATGAGCAACACGTGCAATCTCTACACCTCTTTGCAAAGCAATGATGTCGCGCAAGGACAAAGGAGCAGGAGCGGCGGGGGGGATCTCTTCATCTCCTGCGAAGAGTGAAGTCGAACAGGGAACGAAGGAGCTGTAGAAACGCCTCACGCAATCTCTGGACCTCCCTTGAAGATCGAAGTCGCTCAGCCACTGGAAGTCGAAGGAGCGGCTATGCAATCTCTACACCTCTGGCGAAGTAACGAATCCGAACAACGACCACCAAAAGAGAAGTGAAGGGCGAACCCTAGACCTCTCTTGCGAAGGAACAAAATTGAATAGCCACGATGGAGTCGGAGCAGCGAAGCGAACGAGAGTGTGTTCCTTTCTTTTTGAATTCCTTTATTCTTTTATTGATTTCTTTTGTTGAATGGCGGTTACCAGAACGAAATAATGCATCGTTCGGTGAGGTGGGGCCGGTAGAGACATGTATACTGGTTAATTAATTTTTTTTATTCTATTTTTTTTTACAGTCAACAAATCTATAGATAGTGTCTTGTCTTCAAACTAATTTGCCTTCAAAAATTTTAACCCAGAACATATCTGTTTAAACTCTCCCAAAATGAGAAGAGATCGGACCATAAATTTTCAGAGCCCACAATAACTACTCTAGAAACTCTTTAAGCCTCTCACTTCATGAAAGTGAATCCCCAAAGTAGAAATAGTACATAAAACTAATCATTTTATTCAAGTACCAATTGTTGAGTTTTGTGCGTACCTCATACCCTTTATTTATAGCCACAAAATCATTTAGAGCCATATAGTAGTGGAAGAAAGCTGAAAAAGATAACAACAGCGAGAAAAAAACAATCAAAGCCCAATAACAAAAGAAGGAAGCCTCAAATATTGACAACAAAAAAATTGTCAAGGGACAGTAGATGTGGCTACAAAAATATTATTGGAGAAAAATATATCCAGGGAATCGAAAGAATGGAGAGTAAACCCAAAACTCCGCCAATAGGAAATGCATGAAGAATGCAAATAAGAACTAAAATAGTCTCATGGAATTCCATAAAGTCGTAGAGAATAAGAATCCAAGCTGGGATCAAACATTCTTGATACGATAACAACATAAACATGTACACATAGACTTATACTAACATTAAAAACATCTACTAAAATGAAATAAACAAACAAAAGTAAACACATGCATTTAGGGTTTTCAATGATGGCAGTCTTTGAATTCTAGTCATCAAATACATTAGTTTTCACCAGGCCATAAACTTAGAACAGTCAACATGCTTAGGAAGTTACAAAGGATCACAACTTTTTATGGGTGATACAAAATTTTTAAGACATTTTTCAAGTTTGATTGAGAAACTACATAAAGTAACGTTGGTCACTCTATATGGCTCGTTGCAATTGAAAGTAACAGGTTAACCTCAACTCTTAAACAACTAAACTTATCAAGTTGGCTCAACGTAAAGTTCTTTAAATCCTAACCTTCTCCAATTTACAAGCTTTATCTGCTTCCAGTCGATGGCAAAGATGACCGTAGTATACTATTTGTGCAGTCAAGATTGCTGTTGTTGCCGTGTACAACTGGAAATTCACATTTGCATATTTTCCATCAAGAAGAAGGGAGAATAACATCAGAAGAAGCGAGCAGAGAGAGTAAAAATTGACATACCAATGCCATGTAAAATTGGGTCTTCAAATGCAATGACCATGAAAAGAATTCAGAAATGCAAAGTACAAGAAAGATCTTGCATAACTAAATCGTCAAGCTTGACAGAGTAATTTAAGCCATGGAGGGTAAATGTTGGGGAGCTTCCCCATCAATGACAATAATTTTGTAAAGATAAACTAAAAATGTATTAGTAAACTCAACAAAAGTTGACGCCATGGAGAAACAAGGTTGGGGAATTCAGATACACTAAAAAATGTAATAGCAAACTCAAGCACAAATGAAGTCAATGAGAATAAAGGTAGAGTAAACTCTTGGAGTAATAAATAATAAATGAGAAACTTCCCCAATTTTCAACCAAATAAAAAATGCATGCAAGAAAAGATAATAATGGAACAAAAAATACACAAAAAAGATGCATATATGCACATGAAGAATACGTGCATTGTGCCAGCATTTGCCAGCACTTGCACACACATATAGATGTAGATGAGAAATCTCAGGCGCACACACAAAGAGCTTAGCTGTGTTATGCAGTAATCCATTAAAATTGTACCTCTACTCATGCATATGTGCACATTGCCGCCAATGAAATAAAATAAATTAAAAAAGGCTCTTCATTGATGCCCATTATCACATAGATAATAACTAATGTTCACAATTTCTGCAATTATTTTTGAAACTTATAGTAGCAGGCTCCAGGAGACAGCCTACAAGGTCAAGGGCGGATCCAGCTTCTTTTTTTAGGGTGGGCAAAAAAAAAAATTTTGTGGGGGATGGGCAAAGATGCTTAGGATTGATTAAATGTGGGCAAAAAAATTTTTTGAGAGAGGGAAAAATACCCAAAATATCCAAAATATTCTAAAATATCCCTCTAAAATTAAAAAAAAAACAAATTTTTGAGGGGGGGCATTTGCCCCCCCTCAACTCAATGGGGATCCGCCCATGTACAAGGTTGAAAATATCCCTATAGAACATGAAAGAACAAACATTAAAAAGCTTGAAAATGAAATATAAGGAGCCTAAGATCAAATAGAAATAAAAAAGATGTACCCACAGCCATGGTTTAAAATTGCGCAATATGAGGCTCGCCTTGAGGCCCGCCTTTGTGCAATTCCAACAAAAAACGCCTCGATGCTTACGCCTCGAGTTTTTGTTATGAGGCTTGCGCCTCAACTTGGTTGAGGCCCGCCTCGCCTCACTGGCATGAGGCTTACGCCTCACGCTATATATATTAAAACTTACATAAATCTTGAAGTAAATACCAGACATTGGACTCTATAGGAGAGGAGGAAGAGGAGAGAGCAGTTCATCATAATGATGATTCAAATGAAGAACCCCCTAGGGATGACAGTGCTGATGATTTATGAGTTCTTATGTGATATGTCATTGCTATTTATTTTTACAAATTGGAATTATATGTTAATGAAAGGAACACTGGGATTTGGGAAAGATAGAATTTTGAGTTGAACTATATTTCATGTTGTCTTATTATTGTGATATTTTGATTTCACTTCATATCTTATGCTTTTTTATGTTTTATATTATTCACTCATTAGTATTTAAAAAATTTATCATTTTATGTTTACGCAATCTTTTGATTTTGAGGCTTACGCCTCAGAACGCCTTGAGGCTTACGCCTCGCCTCACAAATGTAAAACGCCTCAATACCCGAATACACAATTTTAAACATTGCCCACAGCTAATCAATAGCTGGACATCCAAATAAAGAATCAAAATGAGAATAAGAGATCTCTTACACCTATTGAGATAAGAGTGCAAACTCACCATCCCCTTGTAATACAATTGACAAGCATTGCTATGGCTTAACTTTTTTTTACAATTGACAAACATTACTATGGCTTAACATTCTTCCTTGCCACTATCATGTAGGGATGTGATATTTCATCTATCCAAACATTTTTTGTTGATAGCATACTCAGTTTCCAAAGGATCTTTCATTTTTCTCTCATCTGGTTGTATTTTGGCATAATTTTAAATATTTATTTGGGGATCTCGGCATGCAGTGCGATGTCAACCCGAATAAATATTTAAAATGCCCCAGTCTATAGGGACATTTGTAGATGTCATTTAGGATGCTTCTTCTCGTAGCTTTAACTTGAGTCTTGAGATTCTAATTTTTTTCTACCCTGTGTTTTAAGTTGCGGACATTGATGGGAAATTACCTGATTTATTTTTACAGACTTGTCAAGTGGGTTTTTTTTTTTACCTTCGACCCTATGCTTCTTACTTTTGCGGCTTTATGAAGAAGTAGATGTCGGTCACCTAAATCCCTTAGGTTTGTACTTGGTCGGTGGAGAGAAGTCATCGGTCCAAAGCTTTGCGCATAGCAGACTTATTGATGATGAAATCTTCTTAGTTCAGTGTAAGGCTTTATGTGAACTTTGGGATAATCTTCTTCGGTCCTTTGCTTTGTGTTTTGGCGGACTTATTGAAGAAGAATTCGTTCGATCCACGCTTTGTATTTTACAGATTTGTTAAAGGATTTGCAGGTTTGGATTTAGTTGATAGTACCAAATATAGCTAGTATCTTGATCCTTAACCACTTGAGAAGACTTTAATCTGAGTCACTTGAGTTCATCAGATCGGGAGAGCTACGATTTGATAGCTCTTTGTCCTCTGGCTGCTGAGATGGGGGTTCCTCTACTACGGCCTTTCTTATATTGTGTTGAGTAGATGGAGCTGTCAGCGATTTGGCCATATTTGGGTTTGTTGAATCCGATCTTTACATCCATTCAGATTTCATACTTGAGCTATGGGAATTGTGCTTTCCAATGCTAATTTTACAGAAGTTGGTAGATTTTGAGTCATCCTTTATGGTTGAAGATTTAGAGCCTACGCACATTCGGTGGTTGTTCGAGATTCCTCCTCGTTGGAACTTTCATTCTCCGGTCAATTGGGAGAATTTGGTGGACTACAACTACTTGAACTTTTCGAGTCAAATTAATCTTCGTTCTTCCTACAGTCTTTACTAACGGGTTGACGAAGTGAGGGTTCCGCTACTACGGTCGTTCTTATGGCTTGTTGAGTAGACGGAGCTGCCAGCGATCCGACTATAATTGAGCTTGTTAGATCCGACCTCTTACACCCATTCGAACCTTAAGTTTTAGCCTATCGAAAGACTTCAAGCTTTTCTGGCTCAATTTGTAGGAGTGTGTAGCCACAAATGTCTCTTTCTTGACTTTTGAACCTTGGTTTGTTGCATAATGTGTTATCTCGATTTTTTGAAAGATCGTCTGCATATACTTTGAAAAAGACTTTGTTGTATTCTTCAATATAAGAAAATATTTGTGTTGTTAATTTTAAATATTTATTTGAGGATCTTGGCATGCAGCACAATGTTGACCAGAATAAATATTTAAAATGCCCCTATCTCACAGAGACATTTTAGAGCAGAATAAATTTGAAATTTTTAGATTGTAAAAATTTATTTGGGGATCTCGGTGCATAATACAATGTCAACCCAAATAAATATTTAAAATGACCCCTATCTTGTAGGGAGATTTTAAAAAAGTTTTGTATTTTAAGATTTTAAATATTTTATTCAGGGATCTCGGCATATGACATGTTGTCAACCCGAATAAATATTTAAAATGCCCTCAGTCTAATGGGAGATTTTGAAATGCATTCTTACTATACAAGAGAATTTCAAAATATAAATATAAGCATGTATTGATAACTATGCACATAAAGCTTTGATCATTATAAAGTACATTAGACATAAAATTTTCATGCATGATACTTCTTTAAAAATCGGCTGTTGATCGACGGCATGGGCCTACGTCCGGCCAGATCGATCAACTGATAAGCTCCTCCTTAGTACACCTTCTCGATGATGAAGGGGGGCCTTCCCAATTAGATATGAATTTGCCACCGATTTTTCGGTGTGTGATCTAAACATCATGACCAATTCTCCTTCTTGAAATGATTGAGGAAGCACCATTCGATCGAAGGATTTTGTCATTCTTCCTCGATATATTTTCATGTTTTGTTGAGCTTGTAACCTGAGTTCATCAAGTACGTCGAGTTCTTCCATTCTCATGCGAGCATTTGCTCTTGAGTGAGATTTTTTGGATGCTACTCGAAGTGATGGTAATTCAACTTTTAATGGTAATACTACTTCAACTCCGAACACTAGTTAATAAGGAGTGGCTTTGATTGGTGTTTTGTAACTTGTATGATATGCCCGCAACGCTTCTGCGATCTTCGTATGCCACTCTATTTTATTCTTGGTGAGGATCTTCTTCAACAATTTCACCAACTTGTTGAAGGTCTCTGCCAAGTCATTTGCTCTCGGATTGTATATGGATGAATACCGCCAATCAATTTTATGCCGATCAACGAACTTATAAATTTTTGTACTTTTGAATGAAGTACCATTGTCTGAGATTATGGGACGTGGCACACCAAATCTGTAGACAAAATTGTGAGTAAAGAAATTGATCACATGCTTGGATGTGACTTCTCTGAACGGAGCTGCTTCTGCCACTTAAAAAAATAGTCTGCTGTTATTAGAAAAAAGCAATGTCTCGTCGATGATGGGGGATCTATCAGCCCGATTATATATGTACCCCAGCATTCAAATGGTCAGGACGCTACTGTTGGGTGAAGTGGATTTGGTGGCTGATCTATAACATCATTATGAATCTGGCACTCATGACACCTCTTAGCGTGGTTAATACAATCTCTTATTATGGTCGGCCAATAGTAACCTATTCTTTTGATTTTAACGGCTATTTTGAGATCTGACTGATGTGCTCCACAAAGCCCTTCGTGGACTTCTACTACCACTTTATCAGCTTCCTTGGTTCTTAGGCATTGCAACCACATCTGATTAAAAGCTCGACAATATAGCGTGTCGTTAACAAACGTATATCGTAACGCCTTTTTTAAGTTTGTGCGGCTGTAGATTTATCCACTTGGAGTTTACTTTCCTTGGTATAGTCAATGAAAGATTGCCTCAAATCATCTCCTTCTTCAATGTCTAAGCAATGTATCCACGACTCCGAGCATCTGCTGGTTTTACGTCTCTTGACTATATGACGTCTTCTAGTTGATTTTTAATAGTGATCTGTTGGGGAGGTTGAAGATCAACCAGGGTTGTATCTTGCTGGCTTGAATCTAGCATTCTCTCTGCCCGCGAGAATTGCAAGATTGCCAGCTCTAGGACCCGACGGCCGTGAACCATAATTGGTATAGGCATCTCCTCGTCGGTGTTCATCACATCTTTGGCTAATTTGGCTAGGAATCTGCCTTTAGAGCTTTGTATTTGGCTTCATTGTTGGTCCGAGGTTCGGTTAAACTGAATGAAAGCCTCATTATGCCTCCCTCAGGTGCTACGAAAATGAGACCGATGCTGCTCGGGCCCTTACAATATTTGGAGGCTGGGCAGGTTTAATCAAGGATGCCCTGTCGAAGTACATCTCTCAAAATGATAGCTTTTCGTTCTCCTCGACCTGCATGATTTATTCATCAGGAAAATCATCATTGAGCGGAGAGTCTACCGGGATAGGATGTGCGACTAGAAAATCTGCTAAAGCTTGTCCTTTCACAGCCCTTTGTGTCATATGTGCGATATCCAACTGCAGTAATAATACTGCCCACCTGACTAGACGACCTGTCAACGCTGGTCTTGTCATCAAGAACTTCAACGTATCGAT